CATGTATCAGGGATGAATGTTTAATTAAATTACAAAATCACCTTTTGTTCCGATCCACAACTGATCCTGTTCCAGTTTAAATGTGAGTCGTAATTTTCCGCCAGATTTGTTGTACATTCCTGATAAAGGCACTGTTGGCAGACGCTCCTGTTTAACAAATAAGAGATCACTCGGATGTCATTAGTGTGTAAAATGAATTTATTCTGTGTCCTTAAAATAACTTTTCATCTGGGGAAATGAAGGACATGATCACTAAACCACCATGCACATGATGCTGTACAGCAAAACACACACACACTCATTGTGTGTGTGTATGTATATTAGGGGTTGCACCGACTAATTGACTAATCACTAGTCGACTTCAATGCTCTGCCATGACGCTTTAAGCTTGACGTCGACTAGTCGCTGGTCCTATAGAGGGCGCAACAAGATAAGACATTTTTGAAGGACTTACACATTTATACTGTTTCCAAACAGTTAAAATGACAAATAAATGCATACTCTGAAAGCGCTCCACAACACGTGTGATTATATTACTGAATGCTCGAAATTGAACGGGAGAATGCACGTTTTAAACAACTTATTGTTCAGGTAAATTAATCGCCGTTCTAATATAATGCGCTGCTGCACTGTACTGCCCATACATTGGCTACAGACAGTAGCTCATACACAGAATCATTCAGTGCAGAAATGTATTGTCAACACCGTTCTGTGATTTCTCAATAAAATAGCTAAGAAACTGAAAAGTTTAAAAGGGTCATATGATGCAATTTCAAATTTTCCTTTCTCTTTGGAGTGTTACAAGCTGTTCGTGCATAGATAAGATCCCTAAAGTTGCAAAGACTAATGTCTCAAAGCCAAAGAGATATTCTTTATAAAAGTTAATACTTGTCCACGCCCTCCTAAAATGCCTCGTTTAAACACGCCCCCACAGGTTTTAATGTTGTTGTCTCGTCACGTCGGGACACGGCATCACAGTATGTTAAGGGGCGTAACATTTCCGTCACACGCTTGAGGTATTCAGCCAATCACAACGCACTGGATAACTGGCCAATCAGAGCACACCTCGCTTTTCAGACCGATGAGCTTTGTAAAAATCGACGCTTTTCAGAAAGGCGGGGCATAGAGGAGCAACAATAATGTACAGTATGTGGAAAATAATGTGTTTTTTTAAACCTTAAACCGCATAAACACATTGCATTACACCAAATACACAACATAATGTTCTTTTTAGCAACATCATATGACCCCTTTAAGGATATATTTCTTAATAACTAAATCCCACAGCTTCACTACTAGTAGAGAGACACTGCCAGGTAGAATTAATTCACACACGCAATCGCTTTCACTAATGCATTCATATAAATGTAATCTTTACTGTGCTACTTTATCTGTATCTGATTTAGAATGAGCAGAAATCTGTGAGAAATATAACGACCCAAAGACAAAAGAACTGATAAAAATGAGCTGTTATAGGAGCAATAGCCATGCGGTCAGCGCTGTGTCATGTGCCATAGCTGTGCACAAGGTGTTTGTCACAGCTCCAGAGTTGGAGATTTGTTCATTAATGACGTCACCAGCGATTAGTCGACTTCGACTCGACTTTCATCACATAAAAGTCGACTTTAAAAAATCAGAATGTATATATGTATACAATTAATTTTGTATGGCATGCGTGTAATGATCTGGTACACTCTAATCATACCCTATGCCTCACAGGTTTTGCTTACCTTAGCTCCTTTTATGGATGGCATGACATCTTCTGGTTTTCCTTTGTCCAAAACTTTTCTATGTTGCTGAGAGAAAAAAAGTATCCACAAGTACATTTATAAAATGTAATTACATAGATACATTTATACATCATAGTTTGCTAGAGTTCACATTAGGCAAATAGGTTTTCCACCCACCTTTTGCCTGCACAATGGCTCCTTTTTGTTCTCTTCAGCTTTAACCTCTTGCTGAATAACTTCTTTTGGTGTATTTACAGCTAGTACATCATTTATTGTAGATCCAACCACCATAATCTTTGCACCGTTTGTAACTTTGATTTCTCGAAGCGTCTTGTCCTCTGGTAGCAGTCCTTTGTACATCACTTTCTGCATAGCAGGTGGAAGACCTGATAACCATTCAAAACATACACACAAAAAAGCATTTGTCTTCAGTAACTTCAATCCTGATATAATATGGTAGTTCCATATTATATAACATTATAAAGTCTCACTGTGAAGCATTTTACTGTTTTAGTAGTGATATGAGACAGACAAGGGTAGTTTTGTGCTAAAAAATTACAACATGCAGTACAAAAAGAACAGTTAGAGATTCAGGTTTGGACACACCAACTCATTTTTTATTATTTCTATTTTACACATTTTAAAATGATAGTAGCATAATTGCTGTAGGAGGTGCATTCCGGGATGATTTTTTAAATCTTTTGAAGGAGTTCACATATATGCTGGACACATGTTGGCTGCTTTTCTTCATTAGAAAATTCAATGACAAATTATAATTTTTCTTTGAAACTGATTTCAAAAATCTGATTATATACTAATATATATATATATATCTTTACATGCAATTAAATTGGATAATGGATTATGACAGACTCTATTGTCTTCTGTAAACCTGCTTTACAGCTGGAATTGAATTTGTTTCATAATTGGATGAATTTTACAACATCAGCAGTTATTTTCCTGTTTATTAACGTGAAGCAGCTTTGAAATAATCTGTATTGCATTAGGCACTATATAAGTAAATGTGACTTGACTATGTTGGATGTGTCCAAATGTTTACTTAGTTTATCTCTAATTTATCCACAAAAGAGAACAAACAGGAACGTTCGCCAATGTCTCACCTGTATGACTTCTGTAAAACACACAAGTCATGCAGGTTTAAATGACATGATGACGAGAATGAGAAAACCAAGACAGAAATTTGCTCCATAAAGCATATATGCCATCCAACCACAATCATGCAAATTACCAGTGAGAGTGTGAATCTTCTCTTTCAGCTTAGCACCGGTGCCATCTAAAGGAATTTTAAGGTCATATTTGTTTTTGTTCCAAATGATTTTCACTTCCACCATCTCTTTCCCCTCCTCACTTTCCTCTCCGTTGCTGACAGCAGCAGGCTGAGCCGATGTGCTTTCACCATCGGTAAGAGAAGCTTGTTCAGTCCCTGCTGCATCTTCTTGTCCAGCAGCTTCACATGGCCCTTCTGGTACCTTCTGTGTGACCTCAGCCTCCATTCCTGCTACCTCACTTTCTGTGGGAACAATTATCAGATGAGAAAGATTTTTTAATCGTATTGATAAGGAAATTTAGTTTTCAATGCGCAAATGTTGACCTGTTTCAGAGTACTGATATGACAATTTCAAACTCTAGTATTAAAGCATTAAAATAAAACAAACAAATCCTCATGGGGCAATATTTTATAACCGATAAGATATATATATATATATAACTCAATTTAACCATGAAATGATGTCTTATCATAAGATTAAAAAAAAATGATCTAAGGTTGATCGATGTGTTGAAAGTTGTAGTGCAAAATGAACCGTCTTTAAAATATTAACATATCAACATGTCTTGCAGTGAAACATGCTTCATGTACAACCCGCAAATAGCATTTTTTATCACTTTTTTTAATACATGCCGTTTTTAAGGACTTGAATTATGAATTATTTATTTAACATTTTTAAAAAAAACGTTATTTGTCACGTTACAGGGCTATTTAGTTCAACAGCAAAAAGTTTGCTTATTACTTTATTTCCTTTTAGCAAACTGTGGTGAAAAGCTTGAATAGCACTAACTTCACTGGGAGTGGATATCATAGGTAAGATCCCAGTCCTTCACCTTTTCTACATCTCATATTCATAATTTAGAGCTTTATAATGGATATGTACATAAAATACATTGCACTGTAAAAAAAAAATCATTATGTAATTTTACTTGATTTAATGAGCCTTCATAGCTTTAATACGGTTTTCTTAATCAGTAATTAGATTATTGTAATTAGTGATTAAAGTGGTTGAAAAAGTGTGAAGAACTCATCACTGTATGGTTGGCACCAGTTTGACTTAAAATTTAAGGTAGCAATTCAACTTTAATTTGCAATTTTAGTCAGTTGAATGCTGGTGAGTTTGCAATTGTGACAAAGAAATGCAAATGGTGCATTATTTCACAGTGCAATATGACAAGAGAAGTAGAGGCTAACAAATCATATCACATTTTCTAATGTCAGAAATGGAAGGTAAAATAAACTCTAGGTGTAGATATTATGAAAATATGTTTGAAATGGGATATTCAACATCCCCCCCCCCCTTTTTTGGAGTCAAAGCAATAGATATTCATCAGCAGCATTCAGATTAATAACTATATGCATATCTTAAAGGCATAGTTCACTCAAACATAATAGCTGTTGTTCCAAACTTGTGTTATGTTCTTTCTTCTGTGAAAGAACACAAAGATGATAAATTAGACAGAATGTCAAATTTTGTCTCGTCCATATAAAATGAAAATAAGTGTAAACTGCCATACTCTTAAAAATAAAACAAGAACATCATAAATACAGTCCAAATTGCTCTATATTCCAATGTATGTTTCAGTGTTAACTTAGTATTTTATTATCATTGAGATTAATATTTTTAATATTATTATATATTATATTATTTTAATAATATTATTAATATTTTGAATTGGTATTCATTTTTACATTTGCTGTTTTCACTGTAATTTTAGTTAGTTTTAGTAATTTTGTTGTGTGTTTTTGTTATTGTTTTTTAATATGTCTATAGTTTTTATTAATTTTTATTTCAGTTTTAGTTTGAGTTATTTTAGCACATCATGTTAAACTACATGGCAAAGAGATGTCATGTTGCCTTGGCAGCTAGTTTAAGTTTACTTTTTGTTTTTTAAAGTAATGTAAAAAAATTACAGTGGTTTTAGTTTGAGTTTAATATAATGTTTATATTACTTCATTGTATGGAAAATGGAAGCTTGGACATTCTACCTAAGCTCTCCTTTTGTGTTTAACTGAAGAAAAAAAGTCATATTGGAGGAGTTATACAAACTTACTAACCAAATCAGTAAAACCATCAAGAGCTATGTTTTAACCACTTAAAACTGTCCATGATTCCTGTATGAAAAATTCTATGTGTTTTCTTTCCAGTATGTTGTTTGGAAATCTATACATTTATTTTGATTGGAAAGGAAAAACTGAAATTACAGGTAACATGATGGTTTGAAAAATCATATTTTGATAAAAGCAACTTGATTGTGTTCACTCTTTGATTTAACTTAAGTTAAGCCGCACTTATTTAATCTCTGCTAACTATATCCTCCTGAGACCCAGCTATGGAGTTTTTGCCTCTG